ATTATTTTCTACTTTTTAGTCCATTTATAAAAGCGTTGTATATTAAACAGTTTTTTTTATATTATTTATTTACTTTTGAATACGGTTTCAGCGAGTGTGCTATAACGACACAGGTATAAATGCTTGAAAGAAATATGTTTTGTGTCAAATCAGCTTTTTGTTAATGCGGTTCTTGCGTAGGTATAAACAAGGTAATAGGCAACTCACTTGTCACATATTGACACGAGTAGTGCTGTGCAGTGTTGCCAGGGGTTTTGAAAGAAAACGCTAATTAGGCAAAATAAAAAGGCTGAAAAAGGCTAAATCAAAAATTGTTTAAGGCTAAATAAAGTGTGAATCCACACCGAATACGACAAAATGTTTGTTCGTGGCAAAACTTTTCTTCCTTCTTCACGCCATATCTAACACTTAAATTTGCATTTAACATTTTTGCACTAATTCTATTTCACTGTTTTGTTTTGACAATATTCATTTCGCTAAAAAAAATTAAAAACAAAGCTGGAAGGAGCAGAAAAAGGGTTTTCGCCAAGCGTGTTTTTAAATTCACTGACTTCGACCCAAAATTCTACAGTAAGCTGTAGATTGCTCCACTGATATAGGTGTAATTTTTCCATTTCATTTCTATGGCGTTTATTTTATTAGCATCAAATTTAAATTTTTTGATGACAAATGATCAAATACATTTCATTTTACAGCATTTAGAACTTTTTCAATGGAAATAATTTTAAGAAAAAAGCTACATGCTAAATTATAATTTCCCGGCTAAAAAAATAAAAAAAGCTAAATCTAGCCGCAAAAATCAAAATGGCAACACTGTTTCTGTGACTTATGTACATACTAAAGAACTGCAAAATTCAACATTTTCTTTAAAAATGTATCTTTCAAAAATTTCATGCACTGCTATGTCATGTCAACTCAAACAAGGTGTTGTACCATGTCATTCCATCTCAAACATGCTGTTTTAGCTACTTAAATAGCTAAGCTGTTGTTCGCTGTCGTGCTTCTGTAGCATATTTTTAAAACTGTTTGATCCTGCCTTGGATGAAAATATATACAGGTTTTTAATTGGACAATTCTTTGATGCATTTTACTACAATAGGTGCTGAAAAAATTTACAAAATCCCTTCCCGTATATAAAATGTAATTAATAATGCTGACTATGTCGCATGTGTCGCATGTGTTGCTTGTGTTGACATACATATATTTGATGCATGATTTGATTTTAATTATTCGACAGTGTCTTCATATGTTATTGTGAAACGTATATGAGCGACATAATATGACCGGCACTTTCATGATGTGACACATGTCGCTATGTTTTATAGTTCAACATTTGCAGGACTTTAGTACATATGTACAGTTGTCCACAAAATAATAGGAGTGGGATATTTTAACCTGTTTTGGCTATTTGTCTTTAGTTTATTTAATGTTTCGTATTTTTTTGTAAACGCCTAGCTGGTAATACAAGAAACACCATATAAATTTACATTTTCAAGTTTGTACAAAAATTATAAAAATTCTGCAAATTTTCACAAAAATTTCAAACTATTTAACCAGAATCTTTAGAAAATATGTTGGTATGCAGTTTTGTAGCCCATTCAATTCTAGTCTGAAGAAGTGCAAGTTTCAAGCTGCTAAAAA